GCCTACTAAATGCCAGGAAGTGTGCTAAGCACTTTAAAAGTTATCTCATTGATTCTCACAACAACCCTGTAAGGTAGGCACTGTTATCCCCATTCAACATTTGAGAAAGCTGAGGTGGAGGTTAAGCCACTAGGCTAGGATCACACAGCTAGTGTTTGAGGCCAGATTTAAACTCAGGTCTTCCTGACTTAGCTAGTCTTTATCACTTACTATTACCTACATGACTGAGGGTGTAATTAACTTAACTCTCTGACCTAACTCTGACTTTCTAAGATGAGGAGCCTGGTCTAGATCACAGGTGTCGATAGAACATAGATAAGGCTATATATGGTTTTCTTCTTTTTTCTTTTTGAATTTATTTTCCCCCAATTACATGAAAAAACAATTTTTAACATTCGTGTAAAATTTTTTTTGAGTTTCAAATTCTCTCTATCCCACCCTCTCCTCCCCATACCTGAGAGGGTAAGCAATTTAAAATTGGTTATACATGTGCAATCATGCAAAACATATTTCCATATTACTCATGTTGTGAAGGAAAACACTGACCAAAAAAAAAAAGCACCATGAGAAAAATAAAATAAAAAATGGTATTCTTCAATCGGCATTCAGACTCCATCAGTTCTTTCTCAGGAGGTGGAGTGAATTTTTCATCACCAGTCCTTTGGAAATGTCTTGGACAATTGTATTGCTGAGAATAACGAAGTCATTCACAGTTCTTCATTGTAAAATATTGCTGTTACTGAGTATGATGTTCTCCTGTTTCTGCTCACTTCACTTAGCATTAGTTCATGTAAGGCTTTCTAGGTTTTTCTGAAATCATTCTGCTTGTCATTTCTTATGGCTAATATTGGTTTTCTAAGTCAATATGCAGCTGGCAGGGATGCTTATGTATAGGTTAGTGGCCACATTTCCATCTGAGTTGAACATCACTAGTCTAGAAAATCTTCCAGATCTAAAGAAACCTATGATCCTCTGATGTTCTCACAGTACTCTGCCCCTGCCAGAACTTATCTGGAGTATTATGTTTAGTTCTGTGTGGGAGGGTTTTTTGACAAGTTGGAACATGTATAGTAGAGTTGTTCAAAATTACCTCACAAAAAAAGTTGAAGAAATTGGAGGTATTCAACCTGGAGAGGGCTTAGGAATAACATGATTACAATATTCTGATATTTGAAGGAAAGTCTTGTCAAAGAAATTGGATTTGTTTTTCTTAGCCACAGAGGGCAGAACCAGGGACCCTGGGTGGAAGTTGCAGGAAGTTTGTATATCCAAACGGATATAAAGAAAAGCTTCCTAACAGAGCATTTCAAAAGTTAAAATGAGATTCCATCATAGTGAGTTGTCTATCATTGGATGTTTTCAGGTGGAGACTAGACATCCTCTTGTTCATTCCTGTTGAAATAAGAATTGGACTAGATGACCTCTGCTGAGATTTTGTGATTATTTCAAGAATGTGCTCTGCAAGAAGGCAACAGGAAATCTTCAAACCCTCCACTAACTCTTAGGTTACAGAAAGGCCTGGGGAAAAAAAACTTTGTCCTGGAGATTAAATTGTAATAACTTGTATGTAAATAGCAATTGTTTCTGTTTTGCCCAGAAACCCTGAGGGTCTTCTAGGTTGATTTTTTTTTTTAAGCTAGGTTAAAGGTCATTCTTTGCCTCATTTCTTACCTAGCCTTAATCACTCAATGGGCATTGCCTCAGTCAAACTGAGACTTGGGAAAGACCCTGGATTAAAAAGGTCAAGATTTCCCACTGCATCCAGGGCCATTTCCAGTCATTCTGATCTCTATTTTGCCACTGGACCCAGATAGCTCTAGAGGAGAGTGTAAGGCTGGTGACTTTGCATAGCTCTCCCTCACTTAAATCCAATTCACTTGCAAGTCATGGTATCACCTTCCTGATGTCATGGTCCTTTTTGAGAACAATAACAATACCTTCTGTGAAAAAAAAAATAAGAATACATAGATATCAAACAGGAGGTTAGTTGAAAATTTGTTTCAGTATTAAAAATATGCATATATGTAATACAATGTAGCACTTTAAGTGCCTGTATTGGTTAAAATGACATTTCTCCCTTAAAAGGCTGCTGCTGGGACAGACAAAAGTGAAAGAACGCATGAAGTAAAGGAAAAAGATTACTAAGAAAGGAATAAGTATTGTAGGTTTGGAGGATATTGAGAAGACCAACTGGGCTGTTACGGGGTACACCTTTTCTGAGTATTGGGAGGTAAGATTGGAGATCTAGGTTGGGAACAGACCGTACTGGGGAGGAGGATTTGATATTCTGTAGTAATTGAGGAACTGAACATCAGTGAGAAGGGGGAGTGACTTCATAAAAATGGTGTTTTAGGAAGATGACTTTGCAGGATGGATCAGAAAAGGTGAGTCTGGACGCAAGACAGCCAGTTAAGAGGCATCACCCCAATCTGAGGACCTGAGTTGGGACTGAAGTGATGACAGTAGTGGAAACAGAGGAAGGAAAATGCCTGGTGGTTCCTTTTACTGATGCTGTACCATGTGGTGCAAAGAGCTTGGATTTAGAGGTAGAAGACCTGGTTGCGACCTTGAATACATTATTTCCTCATTTCCTCAGTTAACACATCTTACATCTGCCCCCTTCTCTCCGCTTACAGAGCTACCACCCTTGGTTCACGCTTTCAACACCTTTTGCCTGGAAAATTTAAATAGCCTTTTAATTGACATACTTCCAAACTACTTCCCAATCTGTCTTCCACATAGCTGCCAACATAACATTCCTAAAGCACAGGCATGTCATCACTCCCCTACTCAAGAATCTTAAGGGTTGGCCTGTTGCCTTCAGGACAAAATATAAACTCCTTCCTCAGGTTGGTATTTAAAGACCTTCACAGTTTGGATCCCATCTACCTTTCAAGACAAATTTCACATTACTCCCCTTCATGTATTTCTTATCCCAGTTAAAATTGACCTACTTCCTGTTCTCATAGCTTGTTACTCAGTTTTTGCCTCTATTCTATGACACAGGTTGTCCCCACAAGTTTAGAATGAGTTACTTTCCTTCAAGGTTTAGCTCCAGTTCCATCTCCTACAATTATAATTCTTTGTGACACAGAAAAATTATTAAGCAAAACAAACTTAATATTATAATGACCACAACTCAGGTGCACACTACATTCTTCACCCACTGTCTGTCACCTGCCTGTTTCAACCATCCCCTGGAACCAAGAATGGTCATGGCATTTAAAATGAACCTTGTGCCGCTGTCATTTACATCATCCTGATCAATTCTGTAGGTTGTTCCGGGTCTTTCTTCACTCTGTATCACCTCATACAAGTCTTCCCCTGTTTCTCTGAATTCCTTGGTATTCTTTCCTTACAGGGCAATGCTATTTTATTATGTTAGTATGTCACAATTCACTCATTCTTTCTCCAACCAATGGAGCTCTGCTATGTCCAGATTTTCCTCTATTACATTTTCATGACTAAAGAATGTATTTGGGTGTGGGGGGGAGTCATTACCCAATTTGTTTCAGGCTATTGACAAAAGCCTTCTCCTTTGTCTTTCGTCTCACCGCCCCTTCCCAGCCCCAAGACAATCAGGGTTAAGTGACTCGCCCAGGGTCACATATCTAGTGAGTATCATATGTTTGAGGTGAAATTTGAACTCAGGTCCTCCTGACTCCAGGGCTGGTGCTCTAACCACTTCGACTCCTAGCCACCCTGTTGTCTTTCATTTTCAAAGAGGACTGATGGCATCACCAATAGGCCATGAGGAGGAAGAGGCTGCAGGTCTCCAGTGGGCTCTGTTCTGTTCTAAAGGTAAAAGGCTCCCAAACAAACATCCTAGAGAGAACCTGGAGGCAAGCAGTCCAATTCAACAGAATCCTTAAAGCACCTACATATAAGAAACTTGCTAACCGAGCAGCTACAGTAGTGATTGTTGTTTGTCACTCATTTTTGAAGAGGACCAACGACATCACGGGATAATGTCTTGACTTGTGTGTGAATTGGATTTAAATGACACTGAGTTGCACAGCCATCACTCTTACCCTCTCTTCCATAGTCATTGAAGTCCGGTGCCCAGACAAAAGTCAGGATGACTTGCATCGGGCTGGGATTCAACGGACCGACCTTGGCTTCTACAATGTCCGAGCAAGCTCTAAGTACTCTGTCGCACCTGCTTCAGCTCCCTTCACTGCCACTGGAACAAACTGTCCTCACCTGCCCCTCCTGCCAGGGGAAGTCTTCACACACTCGGGGTAGGACACTGGCCTCTACACCCCCCACCCCCTCAGAAGCGCGAGTCCTCCTGAACACCCCACACACCCCTAACAAAAGCCTAGGATAGTGAGAAAGTGGCAGGGGGGACCATGAACATGGGCTCGAGGCCACGAGGACCTCCAGCAGCCCCAACCTCCACGAGGGACGACGCCTCGCCCAATCCGGCCTACAGCGAGGCCCACCTGGAAGCCAGCGTCCCAGAGCTGATCTCGTTAGATCCCCGGCGAGACCAACGCGAGACCCTCCTTTCTCTCCTCGCTCCCTCTCCCGCTCCCACTCCTCTCTCCCATTCCCTCCTCTCCCCCGCTCTGGGCCTTCGAGCTACGCGAGAACCCGCGGACGGCGCCTCGATCCTCGGCTCGGCTCAGCGCGGCCCAGCCCGGGCCCCTCTCCTCGCTCCTTCCTTTCCTTTCCTTCTTTTCCCTTCCCTTCCCTTCCCTCCCCCTCGGCCTTTCTCCAGGCCCTCCAGCCGGCCGACTTCAAAAGGACCCGCGCTGGGGCCGTCTCGGCCTCGCCCTCCCGGGGCGCACGTGCTCGCGCTCGCGGCCGTGCTCGTGCTCGAGCCTGCGCCCGGGTGACCCAGAAGAGAAGGAGGAGCCTCGAGCCCGAGTGAGCATGCGTACAACGTGTTCCTTAAGGGGAGGGCTGGGGGAGCGGAGGGGTGGGTGGATGGATGCTTGGATAACTGGGAAGGGTGGGGGAATGGGGGGAAGGGACGGGGACGTAGAAAGCCGCAATTCCCAGCATGCAACGCGGAGCTTCCGACTTCCGGCGTGAGGGACAGAGTGAGTGTCTACCCCGGCGGCTCTGCGGCCGGGCTCCTTCCGCGGGACGGGTGAGGGGACGGGCCCCGGGTGGGCTCGGGTCCTGCGCTTTGGGATCCATCCTCCGCAGTGACACCGACGACAGTCCCCACACTCCTCCCCTCCCACCCCACTCGGCCTCCTGGGGCGCGGGCCTGGGCTGGGCCTACCCCTTGGGGAAGGCTTTGACCTCGAGCCGCAGAACAGATGATGGAGTTGGGCCGTGGAGGTCATCGGCTGACCCCAAGCCCTCGGTACGCCGGAGGAACCCGGCCCGGAGAGGGGTCCGAGAGCAAGGGGTCCTGGGCGCGTCCTCCGATCCCCGCCCAGCCCAGCTCCGAGGCCCATCCACCTAGGGGATGCTCCAGCCTGCAGCCTTATCCTCCTGAGTCATCGTAATGATAAGAGCAAAGAACTTGGTGAACTAGGCGCTTTACCTAAAGCATTCCCGGCCTTTCCGTAAACTTCCGTTAAATTCAATCCAGTAAACACTTAGTAAGCGCCTACTGTATGCCAGGCACATGGTACAGGTGGAGAGTACAAGGATTGCCCCAGTTATAGGTAGAAAATTGAGGCTCTGAAATGACTTTCCCAAAGTCACAGCAAATTAGTGCCAGGTGTCCCGATTTTAAGCTCAGATCTTATTGGTTCTGTCCTGACTCCTTGGCAAAAAAAAGGTGATAGGTCATGGAAATGATGTCATAATAATGATCAGATTAGGTAGGAAAATAGTTTGGCCACAAGGAATAGTAATCATCTTGATTTACTGTCCTGGTCTCAGCGTTAGCCTCCTGTTCAGGTTAGAGGCAGGCAGAGAAAGAAGTATTTATTGTTTCAGCCTCTAAGGATTGGTTGTTTGAGAGTTTGTTTTCTTCCAGGGAGGAAGAGAGAGCGAGAAAGAGAGAGGATGTCTCTCTCAGACTGGCACCTTGCAGTGAAACTGGCTGACCAGCCATTGGCCCCAAAATCCATTCTCCGGTTGCCAGAGACAGAACTAGGCGAATATTCCTTGGGTGCCTATAGTATATCATTTTTGAAGCAGCTCATTGCTGGCAAACTGCAGGAGTCAGTCCCAGATCCAGAGCTGATTGGTGAGTCTCAATTTAAACCATCTGGTCCTATTCCAGAATTCTGAACATTTCAGATATGTCAAGGTGGACTGGTCGTTCTATTTGTTGTTTCTTATGTCAGAAATGAGGTGCTGCTACTTTGGGTAAACTGAATAGTTAGGAAATAGAATTAGGGATCATGTAGGACTTTTAAGACTCTCCAGAATATTTAAGTCTGGTAAATGAATCACAAAGTTATATTGAGCTCTCACATTGCTGTCCCTCTCAGAAGAGTTTTTAAAGTGAAAGTCAGTGAGAAAATATCTTCCCATCTCCCGTGGTTATGTTAAGAATACCTTGGGCCAAGGGGCAGCTAGGTGGAGCAGTGAATAGAGCACCGGCCCTGGACTCAGGAGGACCTGAGTTCAAATGTGGCCTCAGATACATGACACTTACTAGCTGTGTGACCCTGGGCAAGTCACTTAAACCCTGATTGCCTCACCAAAAAGGCAAAAAAAAAAAATAATACGTTGGGCCAGATAACCTGATATCCCTTCCAGCCTTAGCTCTGTGATTCTGTGATTCCACTGTGTGCCCAGTGTTTGTGACATCATCTAACTGGGTTTGTGCTCTCTTAAAGAGCCAAGGGTCCACGAGGGACTCCTCTTAGAATACTGCCATTCATAATCAAAATATATTCATCAACAATGAGATCTACACATGTGTGTCACTTTACAAACCTTGACACACAGATGCTGCTGCTATGATCATAGGAGTTAGAGCTGAGATTATTCCAATGGCTTCATTTTATAGATGAGGAAAGTGAAACTCAGACAGGGGCAGTGACTTGTCCAACATCACACAGGTAGAAAGCAGCAGAGCCAGAATTTAAACCAAACTCTTCTGATAATTCCAACTTCAAATCCAAATCCAGTGCCCTTTTCATGACAGCATATTATTCCTTCTGATATCTTAGTTATAAATTGGTGAAAGAATTTGTAGTCAGAAAAATAGAATAGTTGACAAGCATAACACTTGAAGGACATGAACATTTTATTAACATTTCACTTTGAAATAGAAATTTTCATCCTTTTTCTCTTTTCCTTTGCTTTGTCAACTGATGCAGCTTGTTTGGAAGCGTTCTTAAATTCCAGTCCTTCTAAGTGATAACAGCTGATCCTTCTTTTTCAGATCTGATCTACTGTGGTCGAAAGTTAAAGGATGACCAGACCCTTGATTTCTATGGCATTCAGCCTGGGTCCACAGTCCATGTTCTTCGAAAGTCATGGCCCGAACCAGATCAGAAAGCAGGTAGTTTGTTCACAGATGGCCAGATGCACTTTCAGAAATTTTATCTTGCAAGGGAAGGAACATGCTGTGAGTTGATGGGGTTGGGCCTAGAGATGTCACTTAACGAGACTGTTAGAAGAATTATCTCTTATTCACTTCTGAATTTCCCATCACTGAGTAAGACGGTATTGACTTTGTCTCTTTCTGTAATGTCAGTCCCTTTCTGCATTTCTATGTTTCTGGCCTCTCGGGCAAGTATGTACTTGACATTTCAAATCAGTTTACAAGTTTTTAAGTGCCTGCCATGTGATAAGTGCTGGGGATACAAAGAAATTATAAGGAAAAACAAAACGTTCACAGTAATGATGGGGGTGGGGACTAGCGGAGAATTACCAGCATCTGGAGGGGGTCAGGACAGGTCTTCTGGAGGAGCTGGTACTTGTGCTGAGCTTGAATGGACTTAGGGACTTGAGGAGGTGACAGGGAGGAGGGAGGGCGTTCTCGGTACGTGGAGCAGCCTATGCAGTGACATACTGGTTATGGGATGTCATGGATGGGGAATAGCAAGTGGAACTTACTTCTGATTCAGTGTCTTTGTATTTTACCATCGCTAAAAAAAAAAAATATGGAACACATTTTTGAACTTTCTAACAGCTATGCTTTTTTTTTTTTAAGCATTGATAAGCATAATCTGTTTGCAAACTACATCCATCAGGTGATGATTTGACTTTTAGGTACCATAGAACTAGGATATATTGAGAATTTATTTACCTAAAGATTAGAAAATCCTGGGCCTCAAGATATTTTTGTGTAAAAACCAACACATTTTACAGGTACTTTTGAGACCTTTTTGCAATGCTAACGACGGTGCATGGTCATTAGCTTGAAATTTATGTCTATTCATTCCTCTCACAGACAATTAATGAACACACATTCAGTGTTTTTGTAAACTTGTTTATTTTTACAAACATTGTCTCTCAGACCCAATACCCTCAACTTTCAGTTGAGCAGTAAAATAAAAAACAAAACCCTCACAATAAACACACTGGTCTAGCAGAACAGATTCCTACATTGGCCACGTTCAAAAATGTGTGTCTCATTTTGGATTTTAAGTCCATCACATCTCTGGCAGAAAGTGGGTGGTATAATTCATCGTCAGTCCTCTGGACCGGTTAAAGATTGCATTAATCAGAATTCCAAAGTCTTTAAAAGTTGTTTTTCTCTGTAATGTTGCTGTGGTATAAATTGTCTCCTAGTTTGTCTCATTTAACTTTGTATCAGATCGTGGAGGTTTTCCCAGTTTCCTCAGAAAACCATCCATTTTGTCATTTCTTAGGGTACAATAATATTCCATTACATCCATATACCATAGTTTGTTTAGCCATTTTCCAATATGTAGTTTCCAGTTTTTGATCATGAGGCCAAGATTGGCTATACATATTTTTGGTACATATGGACCTTTTCCTCTTTTTTTTTTTTTTTTTATCTCTTTGGGGTATGGGCTGAATAATGGTATAATTGTGTCAAAGGGTACACACAGTTTAGTAACATTAGGGGCATAGATCCAGTTTGTTCTCTAGGATGGCTGGGTTGCTTCAAATGTCCACCAGCAGCACATTCCCTAATGGGCCTGTTTTTCTTGAATTTCCTCCAACATTCAACATGCATGTAAGATACATATACCATATGCTAGGCACTTTGCTGGATGATGAAGATATAAAAACAAGAAATGAAACAATCTCTATTCCAAGAGAGCTGACATTCTGTCGGGATATGAGAATCCCCTTTTCACAAAGACATGTATGAAACCAAATTGAGTAAGCTGTGAAAACATTTTTGAACCTATAATCCTTGTCATATGTCCTTTCAAGAGACCATAATAAAATATGACCCCCATCCTTTCTGGATTCTAGACTTCCATACCTTAAAAAAAAAATCTTTTTTTTAATGCAAATGGAGCTTCTCATTTAGGAGGGGAAACAATCCCCTTGTGCACTTAGGTGCAAAAATGTTATCTTTTTTTGTCAAGTCCTCAAGAGCCAAAAGTCTAATAATGAATTTACCAATATTAAGTCTGGAGGGTAGAAAATTTCCCACCCTCTAAATTAGAAACATTGAAAAAGTAGAGCCAGTGTTGTTTTTAAATCTTTTGTTATATCACTTAGAGCTTAGAAATGCCCATATTTGGGAATTGTTCCTATGCCTATCGCAGAGGAGGCGAAGCATCAGCAGTTGAGAGTGTTATCTGATATCAGTGTCCGATTTCTTGTCATAACACCCCCATCTACCAAATCTTACAGGTGTTTGCCACTAGTGTTTCTTATAAACTGCTAGTAGATGACTGTTTTCCTAATTTATTCTTTAAAAGAGGCATCTGCTTTGTTGGCGGGTGATGGGGAAATAACCCCGAGTTCCACACCTCCTCCCACTTTCTGGAACCAGACCATCTGTACAGAGGTCAAGAAGGGCCAAGAATCATGATGAGCATGACTAGGACCATGTGGGGTTGTATGTAAGTGGGCAGGAATGTAACTGAGACCTTGAGGTATGACTGTTGGAACCCCAGCCCAGCCTGGGAGAAAGCAGCCCTGGGGAGGGAGGGAGCCCAGCATACTGCTCTGTCATCTCAACCAGGCCCTACCCTTCTCTGGCCTTCCTCTCAAGTGAGGGGCTGGACTGGATGTTCTTTGAGGCCCTGCTCTAAACTTGTGTGACAGTGCTTCTGCCTGGCTCTAATCTCTCTGTTGGAACTTCTCACTCCTAGAGCCTGTGGACAAAGTGGCTGCCCAAAGGGAGTTCCGTGTCTTGCACACTGCCTTGCATAGCAGTCCTGCCTACCGAGATGCAGTGAGTAGGAGGCGGAGGCCCAAATCCAGCACTTCTTATCACCTGTTTGGTTACCAGGAATACAGGACAGGGTGTGAAGGGGATTGTGGGATCTGTGGAATCCAAAAAACAACCAAGATGTCCGTGGGGTGTTCTTGGCATGTCTGTGAGCATTAGGGGATTCTTTGTGTTCCCATGAGAGGTCTAGGTCCAGTTAGATAGAGTCAGTATTAATGACATAGTGCCAGTCTTGGTCTGTTGGAAATGACTGCATCTCCAAGGCAAAAACCCATGTCTTCATTTTTTGCTTTGCTTTATTATTTTGACTGAATAAATTGCCTCAGCTCTCTGGAGCCATTTTTTGATCTGTATAATGGCACTAATCCTGCCTGCCAGGTAGATTTAGTAGAATTAAATCTAAAGCTGAAGGCCTCCCCATATGTAAGGGGTTATACAAATGGACAGTTATAGCTGGCTGTGGGTTGAAAAGGAGTTCTACTGTACATAAGGCTTTTGTCCTTGAATCGGTGTTCTCAGACATCATTATCACTAGAGAGGTATCGATTTGGGGGCAGGGCCAGAGGGATCCACTGTGGTCAGACTGCCCTTATTGTTTCTTTCTCCTCCCTTCACCTTTCACTTCTCTTAGGGAAAAAGGGAAAGCTCCTGGTATAACCTGACCAATTACCAGGGCTCTTGTTCAGATGAGATAATGTAGGTACTTTATTGTAATAACCACTTTTAAAAAGCCAGATTGTTAAAAGGCTGTTCTCATGTGAGGTGGTGGTGTTCGCCAATTGTTTTTGGATGTCAGTAACACCGAGCTGTCTTCTTCTCTTTGACAGGTCTTTAAGATGCTAGGGAATAAAGAATCCCTGGATCAGATCATTGTAGCCACCCCAGGCCTGAACAATGATCCCATTGCACTGGGTAAGTGCTGTAAAGAACCTGAGATGGTGAGGAGGATTGTTAGAGGTTTTTTAAATCTCTATTGGCTCTTTATCATGGAACCAGCGTGTGGGTAGAATGGAACTTGGAGATGGGAAGACCTGGGTTCATGTGCTACATTAGACACATACTGAGTGATCCCAAGCACAAATCACTGGGACTTTCTGAGCCTCAGTGTCCTCATTTCTCCCTTGGTGTATCATCAGCATTGTCATTATGACCACAGTAGTGGTTGAAAACTTTCTCTCATCTTCAGCCTCTCTCCAGCAGGTGACCTCACATCTTCCTTTATTGAGTAGATAGAATCTGTCTGACTTCAGTGATCTTACTGTCTTCCCCTGACCATGTCTCAAAACTACTCTGTCTTTTGTCCTCTGCTGTCCACGTGTCCAGAGGATCAGGTAACATTCCTACCTGCCAAGGCTAGCCACCCTCTTCCCTGCCTTGTGCTCTCCATTCCACCCTCTTCAGGCTCCTTCTTTGCCTTGTTTCATTGACGGTCCCCACTGTTTATATCAACTTTCGTATTTTCCTTGCTATTGATGTCTTCTCTGCTTCAAAACCCACCAGGGTCTCTCCTGCACAAAAGAGAGCAAGGTTGCTTTCCCTTGAACTCTTTGTCCCGTGGAGCTCTTGTCTTCTGTTTCCCCTTTCACTTCAGTCAGTTAACAAGCATTTATGTGAAGAGTAGCAGGCACTTCCTGCCCCTTATTCCTCACTACTTACTCTCCACCCCCTGCAATTTGGCTTTAGTTGGTTCCAGTTACTTTCCTAAAACTGCTCTCTGCACAGTCGCCAGTGACCACTTCATTTGCTAAATCCAGGGAGCTTTTTGCAGTCCTTATCCTCCTTTATCTTCCTGTCACATTTGACACTCAACAACCCTTTCCTTCTTGGTATTGTCTCTTCTTTGTCTTCTATGACATTGTTCTCTTCTGGTATTCTTTTCTTCTCACCTCTCATTTTTTAAGTATGCTATCTTTAATTTTTATTGATTTTTTTCCCCCCAAACCCTCATTTCCAAATATATCCCTCCCCATATCCCTGTCCAGAGAGCTTCCCCTTGTAACAGAAAAAAAAATTGAAAAGCTTTGAAACTATCAAAATCAATGCAATGAGGATAAGAAGAAAAGCTGTTTATTGGAAGAAAATATCTAAGTATCTCTTATCAATATCTCTGATCAAGGTCTGATATCCAAGATACATAGGGAAATAACACAAATATATAAGACCAAGAAACCATTCACCATTGGACAGGTAATCAAAGGATGTGAGCAGATAGTTTCTCAAAAGATAAATTCCAACCTATTAACACCTATATGAAAGAATATTCCAAATCACTAAATAATAAGTGAAATGCAAATGAAAACAGCATAGAAGTTGTACCCAGCAAACTAGTAAAGATGACACAAGATGGGAGTGATCGGTATTGATGGGGCAGTGGGAAGAACACTTTTTTTTTTTGCTAGGCAGTGGGGTTAAGTGACTTGCCCAGGTTCACACAACTAGTAAATGTCAAGTGTCTGAAACCGGATTTGAACTCAGGTCCTCCTGACTCCAGGGTGGGTGCTCTATCCGTTGCACCACCTAGCTGCTCCAAGAACACATTCTTGTAGAGGTGATTCTTTTTGGGGCCTGGGTCGGACTGTTTTCCATGGTGAAGTTCTCTGATTCTCTGGAGCTTACTGGGGGCTCCGGTTATTGGAGAAGGCTTCCCCGAGGAGGTGGCAGCCCAGAATCAGACCAGGACACCATAGGGACGTGACTTGGCTTGATTATGTCGTGATCTTGGCAGCACTCAGCACGAGGCCTTGCACAGAGTCAGTGCCCAATGTTTGTTTCTTGTTTTTTTTTTTTAATGTATATTTTATTTTCCCCCCCAATAACAAATAAAAACAATTTTTAACATTTGTTTTTTAAAATGTTCAGTTCCAAATTCTTTCCCTCCAACTTCCACCTCTCTCCACCACCCCACCACCCCACCACCCCCAAGACAATAAGCAATTTGATAGAGGTTGTCCATAGTAATTCAGTCAGCTTGAAAGCAGCCTCCTGACCTGGGTCAGGGGGAAATGGAGTTACAGATCCCTTCTGGAGCCATTTCTTGAAGTCCAGGTTAGATTTGTTCTTGGCTGTTCCTGTTCGCGGCTGCCCATTTCCAGCTCACATGCCTTTACGTAAAGTGGCCCCCATGTGATGGCAATGCTCTCCTCCCCTCTCTTCTTGGAACCCGTCACTTCCTTTAAGGTTTATAGGCCATCTCCTGTAAGAGGAGTTTCTTGAATCTCCCAGTTTAGTGGTGCCCTCCTCTCCTTCCCCCAATCACTGGCCAATTTATTTTGTTAGATCCTCTATTTACTTATCTGTGAGCGTGTTGTGTCTCACAGTAGAATGATGTCTTCTTGAAGGCAGGACTGTCTCATTGTTGTATTTATGACCCAGTGCCTAGCATAGTGTCTGTCTCGTAGTAGGTGTGTACTAGAGGAAGGATGTCCTGTGCAGAGGAGCCCTGGTATGTCAAGGCCTCATGGACAGAGGCTGGCCTTCTTGTGGGCTTCCCCTCAGTGTCACTGCATCCTGGGCCATCACTAGTTCTGAATTTGTCCTTGCCACTGGACTTTGATGATGTCATTGGTTCTCTTTGAAAATGAAGGACAAACTGACGATGGTGGCTTCTCTGCTGGGCAGTTTCTTATGTCTAATAAGTGCTTAAGGACTGCCTGTTTAATTGAGTAGGACTGCATGCCTCTAAGTTGTCTCTCTAGGATGTTTGGGGGCCCTTTACCCTTAGAACCCTCTGAGGAACAGAGCCCACTGGAGCCCTCCAGCCTCTTCCTCCTCATGGTCTTGATTAGACCCTTACTCTCTGATGTATTTTCTGGGTCTCTTCCAGGGGTGCTTCAGGATAAGGACCTCTTCTCGGTCTTTGCTGATCCCAGCATGCTGGATACGTAAGTATGGTGGGGTGCATCCAGCCAGGCAGTTGCCACAAGTCCATTCTCTCCCATAGAGCCAAGTACAGAAAGGGCTGAAAACACCATTGAACTTCTAGGTCAGGTGGATGAGAAGAGCACAAGATTTAGAGTTGGAAGGGGCCTAAAGAATATCAAAGTCCTTTTGTTGTGACTAAACAGGATCTTCAGAAGAATTATAAAAGCTAGTTGATGCTGAAAGCTTATTTCTGGGAAGGCCATATAGGTTCATTGGAAATACTCTCAAGGAGGTAGAAGTCAGGGACAGCAAGGATAGCCTAATGATCCTTTCTGAATCCTCCATGGCAGTGAGGTGGCAGAGGGAATAGGGTCCTGGGCTTGGAGTCAGGAAGACCTGAATTAAAATCCCTTCTGAGACACTAGCTGTGTGATCCTGGGCAAGTCACTTTGACAACTTTGGTCTGCATCAGTTTCCTCACCTGTGAGGTAGATAATAGCGTCTGCCTCCTAGAGTTGATGTGAGGGTCAAATGAGATACCATTTGTAACGTGCTTAGCACATTGTTGGCCCTATATAAATGCTAGCTGTTGTTATCATTATTACCACCTGTAGGACTGACACCTTCAAACGAGGCTAAGTCCTGAGTCCCCTCCAAATGAAGCTGGGACTGACCCCTCCCCAGCAGGAGGGTGGAGGGGAAGAGAAAGGATGCGTATGGCTACGGATGTCTTTGGGCATCCTTGGGCACAATGATATTTGGGCCATCGCAGGAAAAGGAGGCAGACCAGAACAATTTAGGATTCCTTGGTCCATGTTTCAGGTCACAGGTTTGGGGTCCTTGCTACCAAGATGTTAAAGGGTGGGCAGGAGTTCTGCTTAGAGGTGCTTATTACTTTGCTTGTGGAGATCCCAGGCAGGGAGACACCAGCCAGCCAGTAACCTGGGAGTTTGTAGCCCAGCGCGTGCTGAAAAGAAGTTTCCAAAAATTGGTGATGGAGGCAGATAGCACAGGACAAGGCTAAGGAGTAGGCAGCTTGTTGCACAGTGCTTGGCACACAGCAGGTATTTAATAAATGCTAGTTGTTGACTAGTTGATAAAAAAAGGATGTCAGAAAAAGAGTTGTTTTTTTTCCGCCAAGCTACATGAAATGCCTCTTTTAGCTGGTGGTACAGTTGATAGAATGCTGGGCCTACAGTCGGAAAGACTGATCTAGCCTCAGACACTTTAGCTTTGTGACTCTGAGCAGGTCATTTAAATCTCTGTTTGCCTTAGTTTACTTAGCTGTAAAATGGAGACAATAATGGCACCTTTCTCTCAGAGTGATTATGAGGTTTAAACGTGACGGTATTTGTAAAGTGCTTAGTACAATGCCTGGCACATGGTAAGCACTATATAAATGCTAATTCTTTTTCTTTCCCACTTTATAGATGAGGATACTGAGGTCTAGGTCAAATTAATGACTCACCCAAGGCCACACAAACTCTTGTCTTTTCCAAGTGCTAGTCGACTCTTCCTGCCCAAGCTAGCATCGTATATACTGGCTTGTGGTGACCAAGCAGTTAAAAGCTTCTAAAGCCAGGGGTTTGTGGTAGAACCAAGACCACCCATAACCACCAGAGGTTGAATGGGTCACTCTGGTTTGGCGTTGTCTGTGATGAGGGGATTGAGGGTGGTATGTGACTGCCAAAAGTTCCTCCGGTGGGTGTGTGTGTGTGTGTGTGTGTGTGTGTGTGTGTGTGTGTGTGTGTGTGTGTGTGTGTGAGTGTGTGTGTGTGTGTGAGTGTGAGTGTGAGTGATGGGCCAGGGCTGGGTGTCAGCTCAGCAGGCAGCAAATGCTTGAAGCAAGGTAGACCATGCATGTCCTTATCCTCTTGTTAGGCAGATCTCTTAGCAGAGGCTTAATTAATCAGCACACGTAACGTATGCCCATTAATCCAGTTCTGTGCCAGGCACTGTGGGGGAGATACAGAGAAGTACAAGACAGCCCCTGCCCTCAGTATTTGAGAGCAGATGCTTCACTTGGCGAGGGCAGCTCCTGTTTGGACCAAGAGGCAGCAGGTGCGTGTCACGTGACACCAGGAAATGCTGGGAGAGAGCTGAGGAGGGAGAAGAAAGGGCGTCTTGAGCTGGAGCCTCAAGGATGAATAGAGTTCAGAGGAGCAGAGAGGGTAGACTGTTGCAGGTATGGGGCACCGAATGAACAAAAGCTGTCTCTGGTCTCTAGTGTGTTCATGAAATAGTGCGGAAGGCACCCTGTCTAGGCATCTGTGAGAGGGAGGAGTTCTTCCCTTAGGAAAAGGAGAAAAGCACCAGGCAGGTGCCCTCCTCTTCTGCCTTTGGAGCCCAAAAAAAAAAAAAAAAAGGGAAGAAAATGCCATTGCATCCTGTCAGACCTTCTCCCTCCCCCTGGAAAAGGAGAAACAGCATCCCATGGAGCTTGAGACTCCTCCTTTCTGGGGAGAAAAGGGAAGGCCTTTCCACCAGCTCTCCAGCCTGGACCCCTGGAGACAATGAAAACCTCCATCCCAGTGAATTTGAGTCTCCGACTGTCACCATTCAAACCCTATTCTCTGTCCTCCGCTGTCCGTCTATTATTCCCATTTCTCTCTTCCACCCTATAGTCACACTCTAAAGCTGCCCATCCCTTCTGCTGAGCTCTCTGCAATGCCTGCTTCATAGGCAGGAGACTTGCTTTCATCTAAAATCTCCTTTCCCACTCTTTCCATCTTCTGGTTCTTACTGACATCTTGTTGCCTCCTGGCCATCCTTTTTCTGCGCTGGCTGCATTTTCACTCCTTTCCCCCTGACACATTGGTTGAGATTGGGGAGTTTGACTGTTCTTTGCTCCCCAGTGACACTTGCAGGTTTTCTCTCTATGGCCATCAGATTCACTGAATTCATATCTGCCACCCAGTCAGTTTCTAGTAACTGTTCTCTACCAGACCTCCAGGCTATTTCCTAGTGAGTGCAGTGCCTGGCCTGTGATATGTCTCCCTTCTTCAGCTCTTGCCCTCATACTCAGGCACTTGGACGTACATATTGATATCCCTCAGACACCCTGTCCTCACAGTCACTCACTTTACTCGTTTCCCATGACCTATTCTTCTTTAGCACAGTGACACCAGAGATGGTCATGACCTTGATGTTGCCATCACCCACAAATGCACCGCTTTGTGAACCTTGAAATTCCCTTATTTGATCACAGTCTATTGTGATTCCACCTCTCCCTCCCAACCCCAAACCCTGTTCTTCATCCTCACTGTGCCCTCCCATCTCTTAAAACCTCATGTCTTTTCCAGGCCATCACCCCATACTAGCTACACTCTCCTTGCTTCTCCATAGAGACCATTTGGTAAACCAGTTCACCGGCTCCCTTATATCACCCATCTCACCTTTCCAAGCCTCAGTCTTGGAGCACTTGTGCCATCCGCTGCCTTTGCTTCTACATGCGTGCTGCTGAATGAATTTGGAGAAAACGTGAAAATGTACTGACTGGATCTACTACAGATTGGTTTCATAACATCGACTCTTCCAAACCTTTTCTTTCCCTTAAGCCTCCTGTGGTTTCCCTTCCTCATCTCGTGTCACTCATGTCTTCTGCCTTTATCTCTTTCTTCCCTCCTGTCTCACATGAAGAGGTAGCCTTTCTCTCTATCAAGGAGAACTCCTCTGCTGCATAAATGATTCTGCTGCTTCCCATCTTCTCCAGCGGATTTCCCTCCTTCATCCCCACCCTTTCACTTATCTTCAGTATCTTCTTGTCTGCTGGTTGGTCCTGTCTCCCGCAGCCTCAAAAAACCATCACCTGATCCCTCTATCCCCTCTGGCTGTTGTCCTGCATCTCTTCTCCCTTTTGTGGCTAGACTACTTGAGAGGACTGACTGTACTGGGTATCTACACTTCCTTTCTTCTTGCTCTTTTTAACTCTATACAGTCTGGCTTCTGTTACTAATGATCTCTTTAAAACTTTCCAGATCTCCTGGCCTTTTCTCAAGCCTCATCCTTGACCTCTGTGCAGTCTTTGACACTGTCAGTCAGCTGCTTCTTCTCGACACTGGCTTCTTTCGGGGTTTCCGTGACACTACTTTATCTGGGTTCTCCTCCTTTCTGTCTGACAGCCACTAATGTGGGGGCCCCACAGGATTCTGTTCTGGGTCCTCCTGTCTTCTCTATGTACTGTTTCACTTGTTGATCTTAACCAGCTCCCATCAGTTATCTCTGTAGTGATGATTCTGAAATCTGTTTATCCAGCCCTAACCTCTCTTTTAATGTTCAGTCTCACGTCTCCAACGCCCTATTAGACATCTCAAACTCAACACGTCCAGAACTGAAGGAATGATCTTTTGCCCCGAATCCTTCCCCCTCCTTAACTTCCCCATACTGTCCTCGCTGTCACCCAGACTCACAACGTAGGTGTCTTCCTCAACTCCTCATTTTCTCTTACCTCCTACATCTACTCTGTTGCCAAGTCCTATTGATATTTTTCTTCATGGCATCTTTTGCATGTGCCCCCTTCTCTCCTTTGACACTGCCACCCCCTTGGTGCAGACCCCCACCTCCTCCCACCTGGATTGTGGTAACAGCCTGATGGTTGGTCTTCCTGCTGTAGGTGTTTGCCTACTCCAGTCCAACCTTCACTCACCTGTCAAATTGATCTTCCTAAAGAGCAGGTCTGACCATGTTGTCCCCCCCCACCCCTTTCAGTAAACACCATTGACTCCTCATAGGATCAGATATAAAATCCTCTCTTTGGCATTCAGAGCTCTTTATACTCTATCTCCCCAACCTTTCCAGTCTTCTTACACCTCATGCTGGACTCTGGGATCCAGGGACACCAAGCCTCCTTGCTGTTTCTTGCACAAGATGCCTCATTTCCATATTCTAGATATTTCCTTTAACTGTCCCCCAGGCCTGGAATGCTCTCCCTCCACATGGCTGCCTCCAGGCTTTCAAGTCTCAACCAAAATTTCTCTGTATGCAAGAAGGTGATGGCTTCCTGATTGTCCTTAATGCTAATGCCTTCCCTCTATTGACTCTTTCCAATTTATCCTATAAAAGCTTGTTTGTGCCTAGCTGTTGTTTGCACGTTGTCTTTCCCATAGGACAGAGATCTTTGAGAATAGGGACTATCCTTTGCCTTTCTTTGTATCCATAATACCTAGCACAGTGCCTGGCACATAGTAGGTGTGGCTGACTGACCAAAGTCTCTTTCAGTATTGGCCTCTTTTGTGCTGAGGTGTGGTTCAAGGAAGTTTCACACTATGTTTTGTATTAATAGAAAACTCTTCCATTGTAGTAGAGGGAGAGGGAGGATGATGAGCAGGACAAACATGCCTAAAACTCCAGGGTGACAAGTAGTTTAAGGGGTTCCTGCCTGGATTAGGCACAGGCACTGCCTCTCTTGGACTTATCTTTGGCCAAGGACTCGAGTCACTTATCTGCTGGAACTTTGCTGCCTCGGTGCCTCCCCCCCAGCTTTCTGCCTCTAGGTCACCTGAGTGTCTCTTGGTGTCCTTACCCCCAGGCTGGTGCCGGCTCACCCTGCTCTAGTCAATGCCATCATCCTGGTTCTGCACTCAGTGGCGGGCAGCACTCCACTCCCAGTGGCAGAGGCCTCCTCTCGAAGCCTGCCGTCTAGTTCCTACAGGGACATGCCAGGTGAGCAAGCTGCCTTTTGGGAAATCAGAAGCCTTACACAGTTAATGGTGCAGGGACTGACATCCCTCAGGGGTTCTGATATTGCTGGGGACTGGGGGAGTGGTTATTGGGAACACTCAGCTTGAGTCAGTGAAATGCATCTGTCCTGTAATTTTCCAGAGACAGAGAATGAAGTATAAATTTGTTAGAGAGTAACTTAAAATTAATTTTGGACCTGAGTCTGTGGCTCTCTGCTGTTCTTGCTGAAATCTGTTCTCACCTGGACCAGGTGGCTTCTTGTTTGAAGGACTTTCTGATGATGAAGACGACTTTCATCCAGTAAGTTATCTTGACTACCTGCTGTTAGGTACAGTAGCTCATTCTGGGAGAAAGCCCTTCACAGAGGGGTGGGGTTCCCTTTGAGCCCCCTAGATGAGTGTGGCCTCTTTTATTGTCACTGCTCTATGGCTCATCTGGTCCTTTTCCTGGCTTCATTAGATTGAGTTGTTACCTTTGTGCCTAGGGAGACCTTTGGAGCTGCTTTTGAGTTAGGGGCTATCTCCTGTGGCTTTTGCCACCATGGGGATCTCCCCCCAAAAGTTTGCCCAGCTCACCCACAGGCCCTTCTTTTTTCTGCCAGAGCACAAGGTCCACGCCCTCCAGCAGCACGTCTAGCTCACGCCCAGCATCTCTGGGGTACAGTGGAGCAGCTGGCCCTCGGCCGATCACGCAGAGCGAGCTGGCCACAGCCCTGGCCCTGGCCAGCACCCCGGAGAGCAGCTCTCACACCCCTACCCCTGGCACCCAGGTAAGGGCAGGAGGGCAGGCCCAAGGAAAGTAGAGCCCAGGCCTACTGTGTGTCCCTTTGCTGATGCCAGTAACCGTGGCTTGATGGAGATGCCAGGCTCTCCAGCACGGTTTCATGACTGTGGCACATGCTGCTTACATGTGAGCAGCTCACCCTGCTTTAGTGCCTGAGAATCTAAGAAAATCACACTCCCAGGATGCTCTTGTGCTTTCTCCAGCTTTTTAAAATGGAGTTGGAAGGAACCTCTGCTCTTGGGATCCCTTCTGCGCCATCTTTGATAGATGGCCATGCAGCCTTTGCTTGGATATTGCTAGTGACAGCTCCTTACTGCTCATGCAGCCTGTTGCATTGTTGGTCAGCTCCTAAAGCTTGTGTGCCTAGGGCTGCTTAGCAGGGAGCCTCTTCTCAGTTGCTTTCTCCTCACTGAGAAGGGAGGTGATTAACTCCAGGTGGGAGTCTGCACCCAAGAGGACACCCAGGCGTGGGGCGGGCTGCTCAGGCAGAGGGATTGGGAGAAGCTTTCTCACCCAGGTGGAGAGCTCTCTGGCCTACTTGCTGTTGAGCAAAGATACATGCCGACCCTGTTGGGCAGCAGGAGGAGAACGGAGCAGATAACAGTCCTGTTAGGTGATTTGGGGGTTGGGGAAGAAGGTTTATGAGGGAAGCAGATGAACTTTGAGATTCTGCAAGGGGGCCATTGACAACTGATTTGCTTCCAGGGCCACTCCTCAGGCACTTCACCAATGTCCACCAGTGTCCAGTCAGGTACCCCTATTACTAATGATCTCTTCAGCCAGGCCCTCCAGCATGCCCTGCAGGCCTCGGGTCAGCCAAACCTCCAGGTGAGTCCCTCAGCTCTCAGTGGGTGAGCTTTCAGTGGGTGCACCTCTCATGGAACCTCAGAGTAGGAAAGGAGTTTAGGAATGATGGAGGCAGAGCCTTAGCTGCTGCACAGATTCCCTCTGCAATGTCTCCAGCCTCTGGGGGCAGACAACTGCTCTCTTTCAGAGCATCCCAGAATGTGACCTTCTGTGTCCTGGTCCTGGTTTTGCCCTCTGGGATCACACATCATTAATCTGATCTCTTTTCACCTAAGAGTCTTTCATGTATTTGTTGCCTCTAAGTCTTTTCTTCTTTGGGATAAATATCCCTAATTCTTTTAGCTGTTCCTGATATGTCATGTTTTTAGTCCCTTTATCATCTGGGTCATCCTCCCCCTGATGTGCTCATCCAAATGGGAGACATAATCGGTTGCTGTACCCTGACTGGTGGATACATCCCTCGGGTGCTATTGTCTTTCTTGTTCAGGATACCATAGTATCCTTGACACTGTGCAGCTCAAGATCATTTTGGCTTTTTTGCCAGTCAAAATACACTCTTTCATAGCACTACATTTTATTTTATTTTATTTTAAATTAATTTATTTTGATTTATCAACAATCACTTCCATAAGTTTTGAGTTTTAAATTTTTCTCCCCCTCCCTTTCCAAGACAGCCTGCAATCAGATATAGGCTATACATATACATTCCTGTTAAACATATTTTCACATTAGTGATGTTGTAAGGAAGAATTAGAACCAATGGGAGGAACCACCAGAAAGAGGAAACAAAACACAACAGAAGAAAAAAGAATAGCAAATAGTATACTTCGATCTGCATTCAAACTCCATGGTTCTTTCTTTGGATGTGGATAGCATTTAGCATCATGAGGCCTTTGGAGATGTCTTAGATCTTTGTACTGCTGAGAAGGGTTAAATCTAAATATTAGTACCTAACTGATTATGTTATTCCCTTCTTGAGCCAAATCTAATGAGAGTAAGGTTTAAACAGTGCTCATCTCCCTCCATTCTTTCTCTCTGCTATAATAGGTTTTTGTGCCTTTTCCTGTAATGTAATTTACCTTTGTCTGCCTCCTCCTTTCCTTTTCTCTCAGTACATTTTCTTAGATCAGATTAATCCACTTACTGGGATCCATTTAACCCACTTGATTAGATTTTTTTTTATCATTACATCAAAGTCAACTTATACCCAGCCCTTTTATGTATACTCCTTTAATACGGTGTAATAACAGTACAGTTCTCAAGGGTTACAAGTGTCATTTTCCCTTGTAGGGTTGTAAACCGTTTGCTCTTATTAATAACATGTTTCTTTCTGTCCTGTTTACCTTTTTATGTCTCTCTTGAGTCTTGTATTTGAAGATCAAATTTTCTGTTGAGCTCTGGTCTTTTTATCAGGAAGGTTTGGAAGTCCCCTATTTTGTTGAATATCCATCTCCTCCCCTGAAAGATCATGCTCATTTTTGCTGGGTAGTTGAACCTTGGTTGTAATCCAAGCTCCTTTGCCTTATGGAATTATCATATTCCACGCCCTGTGGTTTTTTTAATGTAGAAACTATAAGGTCTTGTGTAATCCTGACTGTGGTTCCATGATATGTAAATTGTTTCTCTCTGGCAACTTGCGGTATTTTCTCTTTGACCTGGTAATTTTGGAATTGGGAATATAGTAATATTCCTTGGTGTTTTCATTTTGGGATCTCTTTCAGGAGGTGATGAGTGGATTCTTTCTATGCTTATTTTACCCTCTGGTTCTAGGACCTCAGGGCGTTTTCCTTTATGATTTCCTGAAAGATACTGTCCAGGCTCTTTTTTTCATCGTGATCTTCAGGTAGACCAATAATTTTTAAATTGTCTCCTGGACTGATTTTCCAGGTCAGTTGTTTTACCAGTGAGATATTTTACATTTTCATCTATTTTTTCATTCCTTTGTTTTTGTTTGACTGATTCTTGCTCTCTCATAGAGTCATTAGCTTCCATTTGCCCAATTCTAATTTTTAACAAATTGTTTTCTTCTATTAGATTTTGTACCTCCTTCCCCATTTGGCCAATTGTATTTTTTAGGGACTTGTTTTCTTCAGTGTATTTTTTTTCCAGTTGACCAATTGTATTTTTTAGGGACTTGTTTTCTTCAGTGTACTTTTTTCCAGTTGGCCAATTGTATTTTTTAAGGACTTGTTTTCTACAGTTAATTTTTGTCCTTCCTTTTCCAAGCTATTGACTCTCTCTTGCATACCTCTCATTTCTTTTTCCCATTTTTTCTTCTATTTCTCTCATTTGACTTTTAAAATCCTTCTTGAGCTCTTCTAAAATGGCTTTTTGGGCTTCAGACCAGTTCATATTCCCTGTTGAGGTTCCAGAAGTGGGTCTGTTGACATTGTTGTCCTCTTCAGAATTTCTGCCTTGATCTTCACTGTTCCCATAATAAGAATCTATCTTACATTTATTTTTGCTCATGGTGTTTGCTTATTTCCTGGCCTTTAAAGAGATTGAGCTCTCCTGCTGGGGAGCAGAGGGCACTGACCCAAGCTTCTTGTGTTGAGAGCCTAGAGCCTGGTCACTGGCTTTGTGTGCTGGTGTCTCCAATGCTGGCAGTTGGAGGCTCTAGGGTTCTGGCAGCTTACTTGATGTAGGGCTGGAATAACACTGGAACTCTAGGGTTAGGATTGGGTGATCTGGCCCCTGAAGGTTGCCTGCTCACCTGGGCCTTTACTTCTTTTGCTTTCTTCAGCTCCTTTCAGATGGATGTTGTAGGGTGTTTATCC